ACGGATTGGATGGGCGGGCGCGGGGTGTGCGCCGCGTCCCATTCCTGCCATGCATTTTGCGACGTGGACGACAGGACGTCCATGCGACGGTGCCAATGACGGCGACGACTCTAGAAGGATTTGAGCATGAGCTCGCGGCGACGCGCGCGCATGTCGCCCGCGTGGTATTTTTTGCACAGGATTCGCGGCCTGGGTGCATGACAGAGCATCGCGAGTGCACCGCGCGATGACGTGAAATCGCTGGATTTGACCGAATTCTTAAGATTCCTATGGTTTTCCTATGATTTCAGCATGCGGGCCCGGGCAGGAAATTTGTAGAATTTTTGTGAAAAAAACATTGGGTTTTTGATGCTTTTTATGTTGAAATGCTTGCAAACACACAGTGTTCGGTAGGATTCTGACATGAACGCGCGCGTGTGCTCTTTGTGGTATTTTTTGCAACGGATTATCGCCGTGGACGACAGGACGTCCATGTCGAGAGGAAAAAATAAGAAAAATATTGATTTTGTATTGTTTTTTACAGGTTAGGATGGGACCACCCGGATGTGGCCCCTATCTGCCGGCCTGAGGGGGGAGGTGGAGTATATTCTAATATGGAATAAGGATAGGAGTAGGAGTAGGAGTAGGAGTCAAGCTAGCCAGCTCGAGCGAGTCAAGCATGGCATGCCCAGTCCCACCCGCCCTCCCACAACATAAGAAGCAAAGCTGGCACAACTGGGGGCCGAAGTCACACCGGCCAGCCGGTTTGGTACAGCTGATGCGGCCGCGATGGCGGTTGCCGACGGGAACTGGCGAGCGCGTGTTGAATGCCGCGCACGCATTGCCAGACGAGTCGAGAATGGCCCGGTACACCGCAGGAAGCCAGAGGTGGCCGGAGGAAGCCCGACGGTCTGACAGGACACCCCAAAGCATTTTTGTGAAAAAGCATTGGGTTTTTTTATGTTTTTATGTTGAAATGCTTGCAAACACACGGTGTTCGGTAGGATTCTGACATGAACGCGCGAGTGTGCTCTTTGTGTTTTTTTTTGCACAGGGTTCGCGGCCTGGGTGCATGACAGAGCATCGCGAGTGCACCGCGCGATGACGTGAAATCGCTGGATTTGACCGAATTCTTAAGATTCCTATGGTTTTCCTATGATTTCAGCAAGAGAGCCCGGGCGGGAAATTTGTACAATTTTTGTGAAAAAGCATTGGGTTTTTGATGTTTTTATGTTGAAATGCTTGCAAACACACGGTGTTCGGTAGGATTCTGACATGAACGCGCGCGTGTGCTCTTTGTGGTATTTGTTGCAATGGATTATCGCCGTGGACGACAGGACGTCCATGTCGAGAGGAAAAAATAAGAAAAATGTTGATTTTGTATTGTTTTTTACAGGTTAGGATGGGACCACCCGGATGCGGCCCCTAATGGCCGGCCTGAGGGGGGAGTAGGAGTATATTCTAATAAGGAATAAGGATGAGTAGTAGTAGTAGTAGTAGTTAGTAGTAGTAGTAGTAGTAGTAGTAGTAGTAGTAGTAGTAGTAGTAGTAGTAGTAGTAGTAGTAGTAGTAGTAGTAGTAGTAGTAGTAGTTAGAGTAGTATTAGTAGTAGTCGTAGTAGTAGTGTTAGTAGTAGTAGCGTTAGTAGTCCGTAGTAGTCGTAGTAGTAGTAGTAGTAGTAGTAGTACTAGTAGTAGTAGTAGTAGTAGTAGTAGTAGTAGTAGTAGTAGTAGTAGTAGTAGTAGTAGTAGTAGTAGTAGTAGTAGTAGTAGTAGTAGTAGTAGTAGTGGTGGTGGTGGTGGTGGTGGTGGTGGTGGTGGTGGTGGTGGTGGTAGCAGTAGTAGGACCAGTAGCAGTACCAGTAGTGGTAGTAGTGGCGCTCTCGGGGTCTTTTGGGAGGCCCAGTCTGGGGGCATATTGGGAACATCTTGGGGGCCTCGCGGGAGCCTCTTGGGAGCCTTTTTGGGAGCTTCCTGGGGGCCTCTCGGGGCCTCTTGGGCCTCTTGGGGGTCTCTTAGGGACGTCTTGGAGCCTCTTGGGAGCCTCTCGGGGCCGAGGGGTCGAAATGCTCGTTGGGGTCCCCCGTCGGGGCGCCTTCTTGGAGCCGTCTTGGTGGTCTTTTCGGCCATCTTCGCGGCCTCTTGGGCTGTCTTAGGGCCCTCTTGGGTAGTTTTGGGCCTTCTTGGAGGCCTCTTGGGCTGTCTCCTAGCGTCAGGAAGCCGAACAGGCGAGAACGCCAAAATCCTTCAACAACTAAAAGAAAGTCAATGAACTTTCCCTTTTCGGGCTCTTTGGGAATAGTCTTGGAGGCTCTTGGGGCGACTTGGAGGCCTCTTGGACCGGGTGGAGGCTATCTTTGACGTCTTGAGCCGATCGTTCGGCGATTCGGGGCCCTCTTGGACCATGTCGAGGGGCTCTTGGGCCACTCCTGGCTCGTCTGGAGGCTTGCGTTGGTCCCGGGACCCCCCGAAGGAGATGGTATTCTGACCCGGGCCCCCCCCCCCGGGACCTCCCCCCCCCCGTCGGGGAAGGGATCAAACGGAAGGGGCTTCCCTTCGACTTAATCACGACGTTGCTCAATTTGAGGTGGGAGACGGCGACGGTTTGAGGTGGGAGACGGCGACGGCCGTAAGGCGACGGCGACGACAACGGGGAGGGGAGCAGCGAGGGGGACAACAACCATGGCGAGCAGCACCGGGGCGGGAGCAGCGAGGGAGGCAACAACCCACGACGAACAGCTCATTCCACACGCCGACAGGGTCGGCGGATTTTTATGTGTCCCAGGATCCCCCAGAAATTTTCTGTGTCCCAGGATCCCAGGCAACCAGGGCTTTTTTCGGCTCCCCCCTCTCGCGCGGAGTTCAACCATTCACAATAGGAAGCAGAACACAGAATTGTAACATTGGAGACTGGAAACTGAAACTGGAGCAGGGAACAGCAAGCCTAAGCCGCAGAGCCTGATGGCCCCGCGTTGGGGCTGGCGGAAAATCCAGAATGAGAGAGAGAGAAGAAAAAAGAAGAAGACACGCACACAGATAGAGACAGAGTGGGAAAAAGGTAGGGAGATAGAGAGAAAGACAGAGACAGAGATGGAGAAAGAGAGGCAGAGAGAGAGAGAGAAAAGAGAGAGAGAGAGAGAGAGATGGTGAGGGTGAGGGAGGGGAAGAGGTGGAGGTTGAGGGTGAGGTTGAGGGTGTGAGATAAGGGAGAGGTTAAGGTTGAGGGAGAGGATGATTAATCGAACACCGTTGACAGGAGGTGATGATGCTGTGATTTATGACGGGGTGTCCTACGTGAAGAGATCTCTTGGCTCTTGCTCCCCATCGCGCCTTCCTTCCGATTCCTCCGCAGTGAACCGATCCCGTCTTGACTATGCTGTTTCTCTGCCGCACCACAGCTCCCAGGCCCCTCCAGGGCGCGACTGCGCCCCGCTTGTTTCGTATCGAAGACATACGGTGCAGGACAAGTTTTGCGCTGTAGACACGTGATTTCTTTTGTTTTCCGTATATTGTGCTACTTCCGTAGCCGTAGACCTCCTTGTTTTCTCTAGTTGATCGCCTGCATTTGGGGCCCGGTGGCTGCGACCGTGCTGTCCCCCTCCTGCGTGTCTGCCCCCTCTTTCTGTCTCTCTCTTTTCCTTTGCCCTTGCATCTCGAAGGCACGACCCTTCCTGCTGTCGAGCGCTTCTCTTCCAATTCATCACGCGTTGGTGCGCGAGACGGCGGAATAGTTAGTCTATGGCGCTGTGCGCACGCAAGGATTTTGTGTGTGCGGTGGAGGCAAACTAGCCTCAAAAGCTAAGCTCAAACAACTTTAATACTCTCATTCAACTCTGATTCAACTCTGGCCCGAAACTTTATTTCATCTCTGATTTGTTCGAAACTCTGATTTAGTTCTGGTCTGAACTCTGATTTAACTCTGATTCGGCTCTGTCCCCAGCCAGAGCTAAATCAGAGTTAAATCAGAGTTCCAGACCAGAGCTAGAATCAGAGTTTCAGCTAAACCAGAGAGACGAGTCAGAGTTTCAGGCCAGAGCCAAATCAGAGTTTCAGCCAAACCGGAGAAGAGTTCAGGCCAGAGCCAAAACAGAGCTGAATCAGAGTACCATCGGAGTTCTGGCAGTCCCGGGCGGAGGGCGCGGGGCGCGCAGCTCGACGCTGGGTGGGTCATCCTCCTCCTCCTCTGCCGATTTACCCGCTGTGGCGTTCTAGGAATTCGGGGTATGTTCCTACCACTTGTCACGTGCTGTGCTGCGGTTCCTTGGTGACTACTGTGTGATGCCAGGTCTTTTGGACGATCGGTCGGATCATAAGGAGATGCGCTCTCAACGCTTTATTACGTCTGCATGACGTCGTTGTCTCGACTTCGCGCTCTGTAAATACGTGGCTCGTGATGCGAACGGCACGCGCACGAGCTACAGGGCCAACGCCGCAATATGTGGGCGTTGGCGTGACAGAAAAATCCTCCGCGACGCCAGGCTGGGGCAGCGGAGCCCCCAACCAAACCGACCCTGCTCATTTTGGTCTGGCCCAGTGCAGGGTGCCAAGCCCCCCATTTTCGCTGATGCTCAGGACGTGTGTTCGCCCAGAGTGTGTCCACCCCGTTGAGACCCGCTGGCAGCACGGGGCCCGTTGCCCTCGTGAAATCGCCTGCGTCGTTTTGAGGAGATCCGGCTGGTGCTCACACGTGTTCTGAGGATCGTCGACTTCTGCAGATCCTCTCCGCCGCCCTCCCCCGTCTAACGAGGGGCCCGCGGCCACGCGGCCTCGTCAAAACGTGGCCCCCGCTGCGATGTTACCTCGTTCTCGCACTCTTCGGACGGCGCCAGGGTGTTCCGGAACGTTTGAAAAGGTCTCTCTCAGAGTGTTCTGGAACGCTTGAGAAGGTCGCGGCGCCCGAGACATCCTCCACAGCCGCCAGATCTCAGAGATTTCCGGTTCATCTTCACCCGATTTGATCTTCGTCCTGGCTTCGTCCGATCGTTCTCACATTCTGCGCTCCCCTCTGCCGCGGCGGCCGAGGCTCTTCCGGGTGCGTCGAGTGGCCCAGGGCGGCGTCGAAGGCGCCGTGGGGCCCGCCTTCGGGGTGTGAGCTCCGGATTGGGGGCCTCCCACGTGCTGCTTGCTCGTGGTTGGCGAAGCCGCAGATGGGGTTGGTTCGGGCGCGGGCAGGAAGGACGAGGAGGAGGGACGTGGAGGAGGAAGGAGGAGGATGAGGAGGTGACAGAGGAGACATGAGGACGGGACAGGAGGAGACAGGAAGAGGAGGAGGATGACGAGGAGGAGGAGGAGGAGGAGGAGGAGGAGACAGGAGGAGGAGACAGGAGGAGGAGACAGGAGGAGGAGACAGCAGGAAAACGAGGAGGAGGACGAGGAGGAATGAGGGGGGGGAGCGGCAGGAGGATAGGGGATACCAGCGGGGAGCTCCTCGCGCGGAGGCCCCCATTCTGGCCCAAGAGGCTCCAAAGGCGCTATAAGATCCTTCCCAAATGGCCCAACAGCGCTCCAAGAGGGCCCAAGACGGCTTTTGGACGGCCGCAGAGCTCCTCATGACAGCCCAGGAGGCCCCCCAGAGGGCCCCCAAGAGGCACAAATCGTCGCGTTCCCTCTGGGCAGGGTATATTTCTAACATATTCACTTCTTCGGTCCTAACAACGTCCAGGCCGACCCCAAAGGCTCCCAATTTCGCCCCAAGACGATCCAAGAGGCATCCAAAAGGGCTACGAAGACGGCCCAAGGGCTCCAAGACGGTCCAAGAGAGTTCCGAGGCGGCCCTAGACAGGCCACAAAGGGTCCCCAAAAGGGTCCCAAGGGAACCCGAAGAGGGCCCTAGAAGGCCCCTATTGACGGCCCAAGAGGGCCCCAAGAAAGCCCAAAGACGGCCCAAACCCTCCAAAGCGGGCCAAGAGGGCCCCAGGACGGCCCAAGAAGGCCCCCAGCCGGCCCAAAAGAGCCCTAGAAGGACTCCCAAGAAGGCCCAAGAGGCCCCCAGAGACCCCCCCAAATGCTACCAAAAGTTTGGTTATTTTGAGAGCGCCCTGGGCGTGTTTTCTTTGTTGTTTTACACTTTGGGCTCTTGACAAGCTTAAGCACAATCTAAAAAGCGCGACGGTGGTTTAGCGTTTTTTAGCTAAACATTGTTTAACCGTTTTGAGGGCTGGTTGTGGATCATCATGCTTTTAGCGTTTTTGTTTTCTGGTCGAAGGCTGTTCCTTGTCTTCCCTGCTGCCTTCGCTCCCGCTTTTTCGTTTCTGCCGCCGTTTTCCCTGCCAGAGCTCCCTTTCATCTGAAAGGGCGCGCGGATAATCATAGTCTCCAACTGCAGAGTGATATTTTACAAGCTCGTCATCCCTCTCAGGGTCTGTGTGTCTGCCGAGATGCGGCCCGCGATCACCAGAGCACAGACACGCGTCTTATTTGCAATTCGGGGACCAACACCTAGGCAGGCCCGAATGTCTAAACTCGTCCTGGCTGGCCGGGCTTCAGCGGGCGGACCCGCCGCCGCTCCACATGCAGAAGCCCTACATGCCGCCACGCTGGTTCTGGGCAGGCTGCGCTGTCCGGCGGAAGGGGACGAGCAGGGGAGAAGCAGGCAAACGACGACGAACGCCCAGGCGGGAGGCCAGGGCCGGCGGGGCGGGCGGGCAGGCAGAAGACGGGCCAGGCGGAGACAGCAACAGCAGGCAGGGAGCAGGAGGAAAGGAAAGGGAGGGAAGCAACGAGCAGAAGCGGAGGGAGGGGGAGGACAAGGAGGAGGAAGAGGACAAGGAGGAGGGAAAGCAGCGACCGCAAGCAAACAGGCCGGGTCAGGGGCCGAGAGAGAAGAGCCACCCGCGACGAGGCTACGGACCCTACGGCGGCGACTTGGGCGGGGTGGCCGCCCAGAACCCAGCACGATGCGGGTTGGTGGGGATTGCCCTTTGCGGGATCCATCCACCGCCCCGCCAAAGAAGGGCCGGACGGCGCGTGGGAGGGTCGCTTGCGCGACGTCGGCGAAAGGGCGCGGGGGGCGCCCGCGCTGCCCAGCAAAAGCGGGGGGGAAGGGCGGGGGGCGCTAGACAGCACCAGGGGCACCTCACACGGCGCCTGCCGTGGAAGCCGCCGCGACCGCGGCCAGGCGGGCTGCTGCCACCCCTGCCCCTCCAGACTGGGTCTGGAAGCGCCGCAACACCGCCCGCGCGTTCTCCCTGTGCAGGGAGACGGAACGTCGCCGGGCGTGTTGGTCCGCAACCAGTGCGGCGTCTTCCCCGGTGGCGTCAGCCACCAACTTGGCCAGGACCCCGAAGGCCCTGCGTGCCTCGCGACCCCGCCCGCCGCCGTGGGCTTCCACCACAATGGGGAGGAAGGTGAAGCCCTGTGCCGCGCAGAGCCATACCCACTGCTACCATTCACCCGCAGCTGCCGACCTCCAAATTTTCCACCTCCAGCTTTCGACCTCCGCCTGTCGACTCCCGCCTCACTGCGTGACATTCAGCGTCCAAGTTCCGACCCCCGCCATCCACCGACAGCCGACAACGGTCAACCTTCCACCTCCAGCCTTCGACCTCCGCCCATCGACCTCTCGCATCGCGCGGCCCAACCCCCAGCCTTTAGCTTCAGACCCACAGCAATCACCGCTAGCTACCACCATCCAGGCTTCCACCTCCAGCTTTCGACTTCCAGCTTCAAGAGCATGATCTCCAGCGTCACGGGCAACATCTGATCAGGCCTCGTTTTCGGACGCTCCGGCGCTCCGGCGCCGCGCCCGCAACATCCTAGACTGCGCGCGCGTGCGGGCGTGCTTCGCGCGTGCTTCGTGCTTCGAACGCTGGTCGAGCGCTGGCCCGAAACAGGCCCAGAGGCCTGATGGCCTCAGGAGGAGCAATCGGCCATCGGGCCCGCCAAACTGCACGCCAGGAGAAGGACTGCACGCCAGGAGAAAGTACTTAGGACGTCGTGGACGGCAACGTGAAACAACGCAACCAACCAAGTGATCTGAAAACGCTGGAGGAAAAACGCAGTTGAAAACGCAAAACAATAATTTTGTTGTTGCGTGTTTAGTGTTCTATTTCGGATATTAAATGTTGAAATCATGACTTCCAACGCGCCGGGTTAAAGACGGTAAAGGAACGCCCAGTGCATATACAATAAGATCCTACTTGAAAGGCCCAGAAAACTTTCCAGGAGGCTCCCAGAAGCATATGAGAGATTTGCGTCTACGTCCTGCGCGGCGTTTCCAGAAAAAGCTTCCAGAGGCCCCTGGTTCACGAGCCACGCAGGGTTTCCAGGAGGCCCCGTTGAAACGCGCTGCGAGGCCCCGACGGGCATTCAAATGCCCCGAGCTCACGATCCAGGTCAGGGGTGTGCCGCCACGGCAGCACCACGGCCCATGCGGCATGGCCGCGGCTCCCCATGTCGCGGTCATGTCTGTATCCCCGTGTCCCCGCTTCAGTGGACGGCCGCCGCTTGATCCCCCGAGACAGCTCTTTTCGAGTCGCTTCCGCCAGCTGTACGCCAGTCGGCGCCGTGAAACCTTCCCGAAAGGCGAGCAATAACATCCAGGCCACCTCCAAACGAGCTTGCATCAGTCGGCTGCTGCTCGTCCGCCCCATTCGCTTCTTGCCTTGCATCTTCTGCGCCAACTCCTACTTCGTCATCGGTTTCCATGTTCGCCCCATAATCGGACAGCTGTAGGCCAGTCGGCCCCGTGAGCGCCAATGCCCTTCAAAGCCCACCCGAGCTTGAGACCGTCCCCGAAGACGCCCAAACAACGCCCACGCAAATTCCAAAACGAGCGGACATTAGTCATCGTCATCATCTTCCACCGGCCACGCAACAACCAAAAATGTCGCGAGATGTACGAACCGACGATAGTTCCAAAATTGTTGGTCGATTCGGATTCGGTGCGCGCGGCCTTCTAAACGCCCCAGAGGCTTCCACGTGGTCCTTAGATGGCGCGGGGGCCCCGAAGGCAGGTAAGAAGTTTTGACGACGACAAAGAACTTTTCATTGCTTGCCCCTCTTCTCATGGTGGGGCTCGCCACCTTTTTCTCCGAGCGGTGACCTCCACCACCCTCGCGGTCATCAGCGTCGCCCCCTCGTCGCACCGACCCTTGCCTTCTCCGACGAAACTCAATTCCCCCCCGTTCCCAACGCCCGCGGTCCCCATTCGCACCCGTGGTTTTGGATTTTCGACCTCGTGACCTTCACCCACCTTTCGGTCATCACATCAGATATCTCGCTGCCGGAAGCACATTCTGTCATGACCTTTCTCCCTTTTGGCGTTTGCGGGACCGTCTGCCTCGTCGTGCCCATCGTCCTCGTCGTTATTGTTTTCCCGTTCATCTTCTTCGTCATCGCTGTCTTAGCTGCGGATCATTCGTTTCTGGTTAATCCCGTTGACGTTCATGGCGTTGCTCCTTGAACGCCATGAACGCAAACCCTCTCGTGGTCACTTCCTTTTTTGGTCCTGTCATACCGATGCCCTTTATCCCCGAGTAAGGATATGCCTGTGGCCTGCTCCGGGAATCAGAAAGAGCGCGTTCTGCTGGCGCTTCAAAGGGAGGGGGGGGTTGGAACCGGACCCCTCTTCCTGGATTGAGGGGGGGGGGTCGAACCCCCCCTCCCTCCCCCCCCTCCCGTGACAGACGGGGGGGGGGTTCAAACGCCCGCCCCCCTTGCTTTTCCTCTCTCCCTAGCCTCGGGCCGGCGCTGGCGTCGGCGGCGGCTGTCGGCGGCGGCGGCGGGGAGCGTCGATGAATACGACGACTCCCGTTTTTTGGCCAGCGCTGGCGCTTGCGGCGGCTGGCGGCGGCGGCGGGGCGCATCGACGAGGACGACGGCGACAACGATGACGACGACGACGACGACGACGCTCCGCCACCATGCCTTGGTTTTGGGCTAGAGTCCTGATGGATGCCTCTTGGGGTCTCCTCAGAGGGTTTTCGGGGGCCTCTGAAAAGCATTTGTGAAGCCTCCTGGGCGCCTCTTGGACGTCTTTCGGGGCCTTTCTGAGATGGCGGTGGTGGTGGGCTGTGGTTGCG